ATTGCAGAAGCAATTAAAGTCACCTATATTTTACTCAAGTAATTAAATTAGTGCTTATATTTATATCGTGTTCCAGTAATCTTCAGAATGAAAATGCTTGTATTTAACTGCCTACCAAATATCAAAATTAACCAAAATTTGCGTACAAAAAAATATGTTCATAATCTCATTTGAATTTAAATATCTCAGTGCAATATTTATTAAATATTAAATTTGTAATATTCAATAATACAAGAGATTTAATAATTATTTAATCAGCCCAATGTTTTAATAAAATTCCTATGAATCAATCAATTCAACATTATTAAATAATTTTTATTAATTTCTAGTTAAACTATAAAGATAAAATTGACGTATAAAATTACATTTTTTGTAATCGCAGCAAGTGTCAAAATGATCTTGTCAAAATTCATTGCAAAAAGAAAACAAATAAAAATAAACCTTTTTTTGGTTTTAAAATCAATAATATACATCATTATTGAAAGTTTATATCAAAGAAGGCAGATTGACTTATAAAAATAGAATTTGGTTAAACTTACAACCTAGTAATAATGTTGTTTTGGTACTTATTTTCTATTCTAAATCAGCACAAAATAATTAAAACACAATATACGACAAACTAACCCACTTTCTTCAAATCTAAATAACTTTAACAAACAATATAAACACACTAAAACAAATCGTTGAGAATAAATTAATATTATTTTCAATCTGTCAATAAAAGAATTAATTTAATCGTATGCAACTAACAATACAATATTGTTAGTTGTATAGTAATATTGGTTGTCTAGATGTCAGTAATTTTTTACCAAAAAAAACAATTTTATAAATTATCTAGTCAAAATTAGAAAAAATATTTTACGTTCATGTTGCGGGACCTCGCTCTGCTCGTCCTGCAAATATTCATTCGTTGCAATAAAATAAAGCATTTTGCAACTGGTTTCATAAATATCTATTTTCGCAGTTTTTTGAGTTTTGCCATAGAAAAATGCAATACAGAAAGATCTTTAATATCTCTGTAATTATGCTGAAATATTTTCTCACAACAATGTATTTTTTTAAATTAAATCGTTTTTGTCTTTCAGATGGTTTTTTAATAAATAAATTATTATTGATTATATTATAAAACCATGATTTTGACATGGTAAAATATCATCGAATCCAAAAAAAATATCCAAAGCCCACCAGAAGTAGTAACCTAATAGGGATTTAATAAGGTTAGAGATTCATTGCGAGTGGGGCATCGGCGGATCCAAGGTTGCAATGAGGCAATTGCCCCCCTCTCTTTCCCTAGAGACTAACAATTTTAGTAGTTCATAGTGTTGATAAGTTTTACCCATTAAATCTAATAAAACAAAATAAGCCTACCCTTGGGAAGGTTCTTGATTCGCCCCTGGATTGGGGTTTGAACTATGTCCTAATTCAGTAAATCGATGCCTTTGCTAATCATATTTTTTACTGTAGCAATTAATTCTCGTCTTTCTATTTTTTTACTTGATCGAAGATGATTACCGTAGAATATCTATGCCCCAGCTAATTTGACACTCCAGAATCCAAGGGCACTATACTTGGGAGCATACCAAATAGATTACATTTCCTGGGGAAGATAGAATTGGAAGGGTCGGTATAGACATCGAGACCATTCTCTTGCTGCTTAACGACAGAAGGAGGCACAATAGATCTTTTAGGTCGCAATGTATTAATATCAAATACATACATATCATAACCTAACATAATTTTTCGATACTAGCCAGTAAATTATAATAACTTCAAACTTCTGAAATAATTTGACTGGAGAGATAGAAAACTTTATACCAAAATTTTTATTTTTTTTTTTTTCGCGTTTTTACAACTACCAGGTAATTTAAGATCCTCTATTTTTGGTTGTGCGAAAAATTTCCCTCAAATTTTTTAGAAAAACAGGCTGGCGCTGAAAGTATGAGACGCCCACGTTTTCACGAGTTAATTTTGTTTCGGGTGAGCCAGCACAACGTTTGAATAAAAATAAGAGTAGTGTTGGAAAACTGTTTGTTACGAAAATTAAATTTTGCATAATGGTTGCCACATGTGTGGCCTCTATAATGTTATTATAGGACGCCCCCGAGCTATTTAAGTATTAATTTCATTTGTATATTTTTTTTTACCCAATTTTTGATTTTTGTCAAGTGATTTAAATAATACATAAGTATTCGTAACCTTAATAAACTTAGACTAGTAGAAAATTGTGAATGCAGATTATGTGAGGAGTACTATACCAACCATTCTTTCGCATTCTGACTTTATGTATAGTACTAAAAGGGTACTCTACGTAGAAGCTTACCAATTAGAACTGATTGGAGCCACTCCTTTGGAAGATTAGATGGAATGGTCGTTTAGACCTCGAGACTATCCCCTTGCTGCTAGCAACAGAAGGGGACACAATAGGTATTTTACGTCGCAGTATATTAACACCCATAATTAAAACAACAACTCTCTTGCTGAAATTTGATGTCTTGCTATCATTTTTATAGCACAGACTAGTTGATGAGTATTTACTATATTTTATGATTATTTTTTTAAAATCATTAAGCTTTATAAATATATACATAAAAAAAATTGTTTTCACTGATTATAATTATAATTTCGTGGTTTTATTGACCCTGTAAAATTTATTAAATGTAAATAAGAAAAGAAGAAATATTGATATAAGGATAGCATGGTCATAAGTGGAGAAAATACATGTAGATAGAAATAGGTCTAGGGTATTAGAGAAATAGATTGACACACCTGGAAAGTGGGTGGATTTAACAACTTGGGTTCACAAGCTTTTCCTCGGGATCACTCTTATTTGACTTTAACCAAGTGGGCATTGCAATATTCAAGAATGATAAATGAAGACGATAATTATCCATCGATGAAGTCAATCTGTTCAGATAAGTAATTTAGAAATTAATTGGCTGGTTGTTTTGACACTGTTGGATTCTACTGCAAAAAATATTATCCTACATGTTATTATCCCATCTGACATCCTTTGTGCACCCTCCACCGGGTTATACTAACGTGAAACCATTTTGCTTCCAGACTATTTTACATCATTATTTATATTTCTGGTTTATTTATTGAAGAGGGTAGGGTAAGAGAGAAAAAAAAGATGAAGAGACAGATAGAGGAAAAATAAAATCGACTCAGAGTTAGGCGTACAAACATGTCAGACCATTTTGGATACGCTCTTGGCGAGCTGTGGAGTGGTCCATGTAGAAAATACCTGTACTAACACTAATTAATTATTATATTTTTGTTGACAATAAATTAGTAACATATTGAAGGTAATGCGCCATCTATTTTTACTATATATGTTAAAATATGCAATAATATAATTAATCATTCAAATTGCTTTTTAGAAATAATGGTGGAAATAAGTATTCATTCGCCAAATTTTTAAATAATATATGATTTATTTATATGATCATTTAAAAACTTAAATGACTATGTCATCTCATTATAACAGAAAATGCTTAAAACTATTTCTAGGATACTAAGGGGGAACTTAAATGTCAAAATACAGAACTCACCCCCTTCAACATCCCCCCATGAACCACCAAAAAGTAACCTCTACATAATTCATTGGAAAGCTAATAAAAACGCGTTTCTACGATATAAGTTATGCTCTCTACAGGGTGGTCCAGCAGTACATAATAATTAAAAACCTTTTTAAAAAGAAGATGACATGTTTATCTGAATTAAATATTTTTAAATATTTTTAGTCCAGGAATACAAAATAAATTGTAATACCTGATAAAAACAATTTATGTATATGAGTCAAAATAAGAATTATTGGGACAAAGTTTCAGTTGTATTTTATTATCAAACAAATTTAATTGTTTCCCTTGTAATCTAATTGATTTACTTATTTATCTAAACAATATACTTAACTAATTTAGTGTATTCAATAAATTTCAAAAATGCTTAACAAAAATTGTTTTTTTGTATTACATTAGAAAAACAATTAATACAAATTATCTTGTAAATTTGAGAATAGTCAGTTTTAATATTGTCCCAATTGTATTACGTAAACAAATTATTAATTAGTTATTCTAAAAATTTGAAGCTTATTTGATCATTTTTCAAAAGCATTTTTTTTATTGAATTATTTTTTATATTTATCGTTTCTAGAGGGATGCATTATATAGAATGAGAAAAATTAGGAATTTTTTAGTTATTTCATAATTACTTCTACAAGTGTAAAACTTACTTAATATGGTTAGTAAAAGAAGTGACAGCTGTTATATTTTGAATTTTATTTCGTACTCAAGCAAAATTATACGAAATCCTTGTTCAACGCGACTAACTAAAAAGCTAAATAGGTTAATGTAACATTTGGATTCAAAATTAGGCCTGTTATCTAAATACCACAGATGCTGAACGTCGCGTCAGTGCACTTTTAGCACACACTGGATGTCCTACAAAAACCGATCATTCTCGATTGCTCATTTGCTACAAGTTGGCCGTAACCTGCAACGCGCATGTCCAACTTATCTAATGCATATCGAATTTCCACAGTTTTTCCAAAAATCTCAAATCCCACAACTTAATGCATAAATATATTTTTTATGCGGTGAGCTAAATTTGTCCTATAAACGTTTTCATAACCAATATTGGAACTCCACTAACAATTGTATAAAATAAACACATTAATAAACTGAATTTTAAAATAAATCCGAAAATAATTTTAAATTCCAAATAAGTTATTTTCATTTTCGATAAAAATGATCGCTGTCTGTGACATTTTTATTAAAGCCATGATAGGTTTAAAAAATTATTTTTCAAATATCAATAGAAATATTACGAAATTAACTTTTTTACTTGAAAAATTTGAAGATCTAATTTTGATTATTGAAACCGTGGAAGATTTTCTTCTTAAACTAAAAATGTATTTGTAGGACAACCAAGGGGTGGTGTATTTCTAGAGGATAGTTCTTTAGCACAAGTTAACTGCACAAATGACACTCACATCCACTTACTTTTTATAAGGGGTTGTAGTTGAAGATTTAGTAGCACTTCACTTCACTGCACACACTTTTCTGAGTCGCGTGGCTGCGTGTTGTGTATTTTTTTGTCGTGTGTCGCAGCGCGTCGGTTTAGCGTCGCGAGAGCGTCGTCGTTCGTCTATCCTAGAAATTGCTTCGTGGCCTCTAAAGCACTGACTAAAGATGCCCAATGTGACTCTTCAACCTAATCTAGTGTGTAACGCATTCCCGCCAGCGTGAATTTTCCCACTCTCCTCCATTCGTGTATATTTAAAAAAATTGTTATTCATAAGTTGGGAAAAAAATCCACCCCCACCATTCTATGCGCGTTATGTCTCCGTCTACTCTTATGCACATGACTAAGACGAATAATATTTTTTAAGTGGTGTGGCGTAAATTATCGTTACATTTTGGACACCTTTTGCTTCTATTACACGTTTATACAGGGTATCCACAAACTCACTTCTCTTCTGCTAAATAAATCTTTTGTGTAGGGTAGTTTTCCGCAAATTATTAAAACAGGTAAAGTGATTACTGTCTCTAAGAAAAATGATCCAAAAAATGTTAATAATTACAGACCAGTTACGTTGTCAAACAGTTTTTCTAAAATTTTTAATATGCATACCTCAACAAATTAATGTAATTTTTAAACTAGAATGAAGAATGAAGATATATAATGCTTCTATATTATACTCTTCACCAGTGGCGGCTCGTTGTAATTTAAAATGGGTGTTCACTTTTTGCAATAATTTTATCATTTGTAAGTAAGTTTAGTTGTTATTATTATCAACATCATACTGTTTTCAGGCACTACAACTATTAATAAATGAATATTTTAGTTATTGTAATATTTGTCAAATAAAATAATATATTTTTAAAATACCTTTTTTTGGCAAATAAAATAAGAACTATAATGTTTTAAATGTTTATTTTATGAGATCAGTCCCATCACAATACATAATATTACACAAGACACAGACTAGAATAAAGATATATAATGCGTGGTATTCTAAATGATACTCTTCGCTGTTTAACAGACCCCCTTAATCCTCATTTTCAACCAGATTGTTTTCGCAATCAATAGGCCTCATCTCCTTATAGAGCTTGATTTTTACTAAAATAGAGCCTTAAACATTGGTATATATTTTCAATTTTTCACTTTGCATTTGGGATTTCCAAAATGAACTCAAATATTAAGATTACAAAGAATAGACTCGTCTTACAAAAATTTACTAAGAGAGCTTTTTTGTGGGGCATTTAACCAAGGATCTAAATTACCAATACACCTAATATTTTTGAACATGATTGATAATTACAGGCAGACATAACTTTATACAAACTATTTAAATGTACATACCATTTTTTAGGTAAAGTTTCTCATTAAATTCAACTGGTGGATCCATTTTTCCGATTCACACTTTTGAAGTGAAAAACCATTTGTCTCTTTATCTTTATTCAACGTTTAGTGTATATTTCCATTTCCATAATGATGTCAAGTAGTTACCTTATCAGAATTAACAAATTTTTCCTTTCAGCGGGTTTTGTGGAAAACACAAAAAATTTACAAATTTTTTGCTGGCACAAAATAGATTAACATTTTTAATTAGTCTTAGACACTGAAACAAAATATAAAACAAATAATTACAGTCGTAAAACTTTATTATAGGTAAATAAAACAACATAACCTTAAAAAGTTTTATTTACCTCGCCATAAAGAAGTTTTTCGGGAACAATCGTTGAATTGACACACATACTTCCAATTTATTAAAGTCGCAGTTTTATTATAACTTAATTTTTAATAAATTCAATACACAATTAAAATTTTTATTATTATGTTGGATTTTTAGAATTTGACAGCTTGATTGGAGATTGAAGATAGAGAATAAACTAGGTAGAGACATAATATGAACACTATTTTGTGATATGACAAGTGGAAGCACTTTGAGTCATATTTGGATTAATTTTAAGTTAATCATTTTATAAAATGTTTTTATATCATTTAAATTACGCTATTTTAAAAAAATTACATTTATTATCACCAAAACTGACTAGCTCGAGTTTGACATATGTCGTAAAAGGATAATGCAAAAGTGCAGACACTTCTAGTACCGTCATTGTATCTCTTTATTCTATATCTATGATTTGAAAGATTCGCAGGCTCCGCTCTACTTTGTGACGTCATTGCGTGCGTAGCGCAAAATAAGATGATTTGAGTGATTTTAAGTAGGCCATTGTTCGTTTTATCGATCTGTTAACGTGTTGACATCTCTTTTTAGCTAGAGGCTTTAGGGAAGCATCTCACTAAAAAAAATGAGCCAAAGAGATGCGATTAGCCAGAGCGCAGTGGCGTACCAAAAAATAGAGATTAACACGTATGAAAACAATAAAATTATTAAAATTTAATTTATATTTTTATGGTATTATAAAATAATGTGTTTTTATGATATATAACTGGGTGTTCATTGCACAAATGAACCAATGGAGAAACCGCCCCTGCTCTTCACAGTTTAATAGACCCCTCTTAACGACCATTTTCAATCAGAATCAATAGGCTTCATCCCCTTATAAAGCTATTTTTTTCCTTCAGATTTCAATTTGATATCGTTTTTTGTTTCGGAGTTAGGATTTTTTCTCAATATTTCAACCCTCCTTATCTCCCAATTTTTATTTATTTATTTATTCCCTTACAGAGCTTGTTTTTATTAAACATTTCATGTTGATATCGCTTTTGGTTTTTTATTTCTATTTTTTTTATATTTCAACCCCCCTCCACCCCATTTTATTCATATTTTTTAAAATCGATAGGCCTTGTCCTCTTAAAGAGCATAAATTTCAAGTTTACATTATTGTTCGTTTTTAAATATTTCAACCCCCCATTTTTATTAAAAAAAAAAATTCAGAATCGATGGGCTTCATCTCCTTATAGAACTTGATTTTTACTAAAAATTTCATATTGATGTCGTTTTTCGTTTTTGATTTGTGTATATTTTTTAAATTTCAACCCCCCTTAAACCTGATATTTTTAATCGGATTTTTTTTTAAATTTAAAGGGCTTGGAGACATGCCTTGGATAGTGTTATTTCTAAAAAGCAGGTCTCAGTTTGTATCTATAAGTAAAGATCAATACAAAAATTTTAATTCAAATCTTTTGTCAGCACAGATTGGTGTGCCACAGGGATCAATTTAGGTCCAATGCTATTGTTCCTATAAGTTAACTATATTGACTCAATTATGGAAAACAACTCTTGTACAGCGTATGCTGATGACTTCTATAATTGTTTTTGATAAATCCACTAAAATTCTTGAGACAAAATGTGAACTGATTTTAGCTAATGTGTGTACACTCTTTAATAGTATTTTTTTAATTTTTAAATAGCTAAAAAAAGAAATTCTTAAGCTACACAACGTACAAAAGAAAGTTAAAAATATATATTTATCGGTTAATAAGTCATTAATGACGAACATCCACAGTGGCGTCAACTTTATAGACAATAGATGAAAATCTTAAGAGGCTCCATTGAAAGAACTTAATCTCTAAATTAAACTCATTGAAGTTTCATTTCCTTAATTTGAGAAACGTTGGATAAATTGCAACTTTTAGCGTTTTATTATGCACAAGTCAAAAGTTGTGAATTTTGAGTTGTGCAATTTTTGAAAAAAGGGTGCGAAACGTAAATATAAATAAATAAACAAAAGAAAACTGCAAATTAAAGGACTCACGTTATGTCAATTTGACGTAAATCACCTTATCCAAAGTTACATGCTAAGGGAGCTAGTGCTCCTTATAGATGGCACCCTAATAACGAGTTAATTCAAATACCATTAGTGTAATATCTTTCTTATCATAACATATATTTCTCCGTTACATTGGGACAGCTCTTAACTCACCCTGTATATGTGTTCACCATTGATTTCAGCGTAAAATGTTACGTAATACTAAGGTTTCCTAAATAATACGACATTGTCAATGCATGGCAAAAAATGTAAAAGAAATACTGAAAAATTTTTCAAAACAATATTGAAAAAACTTTTTTATTGACAGTTAAATTAAAATATTTGGGAAATACAAAGAAAATTATTATTAGCTGAAACATTTGAGATGTTCAAAAGTTTATTTTTGTAAACAGGTGATTTTATACAGGGGCACAATTTGTTATTATAATATAGACCTTAAAAAATAGTTTTTGACAAATTTTATTTTAATTGACAACTTAAAAATATTTTTTTAGAATTTAACAAAAGTTATTTGGTTGAATCAGTCACTAAAAAGTTGACTGCGCCAGAACATACCTATGTTCTGCTTTTAAATAAAAATATTTTAGTAACCGATTTAACCAAAGAATTTTTATTTATTTCTAAAAAATTCTATTACGATCAGGAAATTATCCTCTTTTTAAAAATAATAAAGATAAGAGAAATATAATAAAGATAATGTAAATAAACTTTCTGATATTAAATAAGTAGGTAAGTAATGCGAACCATTTTCGACCAGTCTGATTATGCTCTATTCCTTTGAGTCAATATTTGCCTTATTACCAAAGAACTTTTATTTATTGCTAAAACATTATATTACGATCATGAAATTATCCTCTTTTAAAAATAATAGAGATAAAAATATAATAGAGATAATGTAAATAAACTTTGTGATATAAATTAAGTAGGTTAGTAATGCGAGCCATTTTCGACCAGTCTGGTTATGCTCTATTCCGTTAAGTCACTCCGAAACCCCCCTTGATACGACTATGAACACTACCATTCTACGTTCTAGATTGTTCTGGAATGGGGAGAAGCGCCTAGACATCGCTTTTGGTGGATACTCCAGTCTATAAAATGGTGGATCCGTCGAAATATTATCTAAGCGATGCCATCAATTATTTCTACCTGTTTTTTCATTAGGTTTAGTTTATGTTTCGATATCAATGCCAACATATTAATATTATATTATAAACAAACGTTACAGTATGAACTACAACGCAAAAAACGACACCCTATAAAGTACCCCCCAGATGCTTCGATATTTTTTGTTTACTTTGTATTCAAAAATATGTGGTACTTTTTTTAGAAGTTCATTATACAGCCTTCTTATTTCCACCATAACACCCATTGTTAAAACATGTCCTTTTTATAAATGATATTGAGCTCTTGGTATATTGGAATCTCTATATAATTATCTGATATTCTGGTTTCTTTAGCAGCTAAATCCACCTTTTCATTGCGTTTTATCCCCGTATGTCCCTTATCATCCTTCATCAGATAGTTGATGTTGCATATATAAATCAAATTTTATATGTATATGCATATTACATATGAAAATGAGAGGTCAATTTTTTCTTTAATACTCTTAATTAAATT